CACGGTGCACGCAACATTTAGCTATTACCTACATAAAATGTAACAAGTATATTAGTGTTATACTAACTGTTGTGTTAATTGTTTTTCTTTGTTATCATAAATTAATCGTAGTTTATTTAAATAAGTTGTATCATCTAAGGTCAGGTTCATTGTTATTTGTAAATACAGTTTAATTCCACGAGTTTAGCGTAACATAATGTCGTTTTTCACAGTTTTTAGTAGGTATGACATATATTGCTTTGCATGTCGCGGCGAGGAGAAAGTACATTGAGCTAAATTAAGTAGATTTTACAAACTCTTTAAGAGACTAGATGATGTAGAATCTTGCATACAGTTTAGGGAATGAAAATCAATTTGATGTTGACACTTAGGAGCAAAAGATTAACAGTAAAATTTTATAACTAGTTATTTAAACTACATAAATATTTACAACTTAAAATTAACTACAACTAAACTATAAAATAAAATGAAAGTAAAAAAAGGAAACAACAAAAATTATACACTCAATTTAGACGTCAAAGTATTCGTCCGCATCACTATCACAGGGGAACGTTCCCAGGAGACTGGCAGAGATCAAGTTATTTCCGATACTATAAGGGCAGGCCACGCAAATGTATTGTTACAGAGAAATTCCACTTACCTATACATTATAAATCTGTTTTTTTTTTTGTTTGTATATTTCGATATTTGTCAGTCAATCACGCTTAAGTTGGTGAACGGATTTTTATAAAATTTGTATATACAGTCAATCAAGTTCAAGCTACTGAACGCATTTTGATGAAATTTGGTTAAAAGGCTGGGTATGTGCTGACGTAGGTGATAGGATACTTTCTATCCCGATTAAATGCTCCATGGGATATAAAAGGAATCTAAAAAATATTCTACGTTCACGTAGTCGTGTGCCTACATTCAACAGTTAGTTAATAATAAAGAAATTGATTCATAGCAGTAGACTTACCTCATAACTCAGGAATAAACTGAACAGCACTTGGAAGATGTTATAGAGCATAATCGGAATCCTCAGTTCGAACCCTGGCCTGTTCTTCATCAGCCGAGGACCCAGAGACAGACAGAAGTAGAGGTAAGCTGCTGAAATGGACAGGATCACTAGGGGATTTGAAACACCCCACCAGTCCGCCGTTCTAGGATCTGAAACATTCACATTTTTAATTTTGTATTTTGCATATTATATAGTATCTATTGGTCACATAAATCATACAGTTTTTATTAATTAAAAAAAGATTGATAACTCACCAGCGAAGTCGTACATAACATAGTTATATTTTTCAACGACTCTATTTAGCAGTCCCGCCATTTTGATAAATTGCGAAGACACCGTCCAATACCAGTCGACTTACTTCAACGATACGTACTATTCAAACTGCCAACTCACATAATGGGTAAATATCAATAAAAAAAATACAATTTAAATCAAATTCTTCATACGTAACTGTGACTATTAACATTTCCGTATAAATTAATACTGTAAGTACCTATGTGATTGTCTGTAACTTATTTTACCGTTATAATCTAAATTAAATATGTTAATCTTTTTTTTACATGACCGCTAACAATGCATCGCTGAAAACTTAAATTTCAAACAGTACTTTTACGTAATATGTAAAAAAGTCTGAAACAGAAAAATCATAAACTTTTGAGTGAGGTAGGTATACAAGGTGTTGTTTTAAAGCCGCGTCATTTTCTAGGAGGTAACTCGGATATCGATTGTGAGTCCGAATCAATAAAATTATTGTAGGTAAATATTTTTCTTTTTTTTGAAATTACGGAAATCCGTAAGTGCGAAGTACACGTCGCCGTTTTGTAACTAGCTTTATAACGCTTAACACACACAAACTCAAATACGTAATTGATATTATTCCTAATTCCATTGAACTCCAATAAGAAACATTGCTGTCGCAATACTTATTATTATTATTCTGAAATACTGTCGAACTTAAACGATTTATTATAGCCGTATTTTTCTATTGACCCGAAATTTTCTGTTATATTGAACCTTTATGACTTCCCTTATATGCCCCCAAGAAATGACACGGTTTCAAAACTACACCTTGTATAGCTAGTTTGATTCATATATTATTTTAAGCAATAATAGAGGTACACGTATTTAGGAAATGATACATTTTTTTTGCTATTTCGGTATTAAGTTAATAATTTATAAATAATAATATTAATAAGACCCCAGGGCACGGTGAGGTGACGGCAAGGTGACGAGCATTAGCGACCCCGCGGGTAATCATGGTCCCGAGTGCTCCAGGGAGAAGTCACCATTCCTTATTCTCCGACTTGCCTTAAATGGCTGGCTGGAGCGAACGTTGATGAGGAATGAGGTTGCAACTTAATTATACAACTAAGTTAAAATCTTTTAGAATGTTGGTAGTGGCATTTGTTGACATTGATTTATAGAATAATGGCCACCAAATTTATTCGTATTATATTGGTACCTGCAGTCAGTTTAAAAATTATAAATGCTTATAATATGAGAATTTGAACATATTACATTATTTTGTGTTATGATGGTTAACGATATAGTTTTGAAAGCATTTATCTTATCTATGAAAGTTTTTATATTAATAGATGTGAAAGAATAGCGAAAATATCTAATAGCCATACTTAAGTTTATTTTTCTAGGGGTATTATTAGTTTTAAAATAAAATATTACACATAATACATTTAATGTATTAAAATAAGTATTTTGGATACCCCCTTAATGTTACTAACTGTAGACATATAAAATATATAGATTCTTGTTAACAGTTGTTAGACAGAAGTAGAGGTAAGCTGCTGAAATAGATAGAAGGAAGGAAGGAAGGATTTGAAACACCCCCATATGAGCTGACTGTACATTGATTTTATATCGTCACCTAGGTGGTTCTTTTCGTGCCCTACGTGTAGCTCACACGAAGCAACTGTAATAAAACAAAGACTTGTAGTTACTTTTAGGGGGAAGTCCCGTAACGCCGGACGGCACCTAACGCTGTACGCCGGTATTATCTCGATAATTGATAACACGAGCGATTCAATTTTTATTAAAAATCTTAGGTGTCTGCCACTGGAAGACTTCTCCCTAAAAATTTAATCGCTCGCGTTATTACCTCTAGTTATAGAGATAATACAAGCGTACGGCGTTAGGTGCCGTCAGGCGTTAAGGGACTTCCCCTATTCATTTTTCCATAAAGATTAACCAAAACGAAAATCAAACGATAACAATTTTGGTTTCCTCGAAATGACACTGAACGTACGAAGAATAATCTGTCAAACTCGGATAATGTCGTTCGTGCGGATTGTGCAATTAGAGTAGGATTCCGAAAATTAAAACGTTAAACAGTACATTTCATACTAATTTCTGGCTTGTTTAATTCCTTTTTCGATCGTTATAAATGTCATTGTGGTAGAAAATCTTCGAAGTTTCGGACGAAACTTCCTTTTTCGTTAAGTCAGAGTCGACTCACTGGTCTCCCACCTCTGGCTTGCCTTCATTGGCCGTCCAGAGCGGAGTTGCGAGAGCAGTGATACTGCTCAGAGGGTCGGAAACTATTTGTAAGTCGCGAGTGGGCCAATGATGTTTAATCCTGTGGCAGGAACAGGTGATCTGAGTAGAAAGCGGTGTTAGTTTCTTCACCTTTCAGCCACCCACATGTCTGTTGTCCTTCTGTTGCTATATCTAGCAACCATTTCCGGTGGCACCGTTAGTGAGTTGGTGAGTCTCTGCGAGTATCTTCGGCAGGTGCCATAGTCATCCATAGTTCCCAATTTACCAGTCCACAGCAACCTATCCATAGCCCTAACTTATTCCCTGTGTGATGGATCCCTAGGCTCCCACCTCGTACCACTCATCCTTACTAATATTATAAATCGGAAAGTGAGTTTGTTAGTTTGCTCCCCTTTCACGCCGTAACTACTAAACCGATTGCTTTGAATTTTTGCAGACGTAAAGTTAGAAGTCTGGATTAAATAATAGGGTACTTTTTATCTCGAAAATATGTGATATTCTCGAGGAAAAACGAAATCAGTGGTATAGATGGCGTGCATATTTCACATAGGCTTCTTTTTATCCATTTGTGACACGAGCGAAGCGGGTAAAAGCTAGTAGATTATAAATTGCATGTAATAAAAAGGGACGATGTCTGAAAATTTCTATTAGTCTCAATAACACTGGTTATCTCGAATCGAAGCGATTGTAAAACAAATTTAAGAATCTATGCATATACATAGAATAATAAGATGGAAAACCGATTATTATTTTTTTTGGAATGTAGCTGATGTTCTAAGTGGTAACATAGTCTACTTACATAGGCTTTTATTTTGAAAAATTGAAACAAATGGTTATATTCTAAAATTCATATGCTAAGCGGAAGTAATCGCGGGCAACAGCAAGTTATGTAATAGGTAAATGTAATAAATGTAAGTCCCTTGTTTATTCTATCAGAAGAAGTACCTAAGTATAAATTTGTTTAGTTTTTTGAACATTTGACTGAAGATTAAAAATGAAGGTTAGATCCAACTTAGTCTATGGTGTGCTATGGTAAACTCAGAGAACCCCGTAATAGTCCAACAGTAGAAAATGATGGAATGTTGATAATGATTTCTTAGGAACTCGGTGTTATAGTGTTTTCATACGGTCAAAATTGGGCTTGATCTTCAAAATCCATATTATAAAAATGAATCGCAAAATGTGTTGGTAAGGGCGTAACTCCACAACGCCTGGACCAATTCGGCCTTTTTTTAATGTTGTTTGAAGTTCCAGGATGATTTTTCACGGCGAAAAAAATTCGTTATTTTTTTTTGACAGGAAGAAGTCTGTCTGGTCCGCAAGTTATCAAATAAAAAGCATTGCAAAATTCAATACACTTTTATTTTTTTCTTTGGTTTTAAGTACCTACCTGCCGTTTCGTTACGTAAAAATACAGTAGACATTTTAAGTATAAAATCGACGTAAAACATCATCATTATTAAATACTACAATTACATAAATATCCTTAATATTAATAAATACATCCCTTACATTTATTGTCTTTTATTATACAATTAATTCGTAATAAACATTTTACATTTTCATCCTTATTATTAACGCAAGTAGCTTTATATTACCGTGTCTTCTCAGCAACTTTTCTTTGTATTCCAAAGTTGTTCAATTCGCTCTTTACGGGTGTTTTAGGTTTTTTGCTCTCCAGCAATGATTTGTTCCTAACATTCTTTCTATATCTGTCGACGTAGAACTTCCCGAACATGTATAGGAAAGCAACACAGTTGCCAATGCACATAAGGTTCAAAAATTTTGGGAAATTGCACTCGTAGAAGAATACTGATACATTGTGAATGAAGACGATCGAGAATTGTGTCTGAAAGGGAAAATAATAACAGTTTTAGGACCAAATTAATAATTATATCATCATCTTCAGTGTATATAATTGTTTAGCAGAGTATGAGTGAACACATTTAGATATTTAATGTTCCTAAATTTTTTTTCTTAATAAACGTTGTAAAATTAGGATTTCCTCCTGTGTCGTGGGTGCGTTTACAAACATACCCGAAACAACAATTTGTGGATCACACAAAGTGTTGTTGCGTACGGGAATCGAACCCGCGACACGTTGCACGGCAGCCGGTTGCCCAGCCACCGCACCAACCGTACAGTCTAAAGTAGTTATAGGTAGTATGATAATAATATGTTATACACAGTAGCGTCATTCATGTCCCTGTCAACTGTCAACAAGTCCTTATATAGGGATCCTAGAGGTATATTTTCGTTTTGATTAACAGATAAATAATAGGTATTTAACTCACCAGTTGCATTTTAGTGACATGCTTCTTCCACCACACATACTTCTGGTACTGAGGTCCGAGTCCGGCGATTAGGTAGTAAGTGTACATGACTACGTGGACGACGGAGTTCAGGAAACCCATCAAAGTGGTGTGGCCACCTGGAAAGAAGAAGAAAAAGAAATTAATGAACAATACATTTTATTTGAAGTTATGTATAAAGCATCCTAACCTTAGTTTTATAATTAAATAAATAATGAATTTTAATCCAATAACATCTCACATAATTATTAAATGTCAAAACTATACAACCCGAATCGTAGCTGCTAAAATAGCATTCAGAGTACGGATTATAAAGCTAAACACAATACCATTTAGTTCATTCAATATTCACGCAATACTGATGCAATGGGCGCTAGTGTTGCAATTCAAGAGTACGAAATTTCACAATACCAATGTCGATCGATCGGAATCGGATTAAAGAGTAAGGCCCCAGGTCTAGGTTCGCATTAAGATAATTTTGGATAATCGGTCGGAATAATTAGAGAAATCAACCATCATAATTTAAATAAATAATTTTGACTTTGACTTTGACTTTGACTTTGACTTTGACTTTGACTATGCTATGGAGACACGCCGTCGAAACAAATGTCAGATACAGTGGAAGTTACCAACAAACACCCATGCAAAGTAGGAACGAACCGTTATAGGCAATAAATGTCCTGAGAAAATAATTATCTTATATCAAAATCGTACCTGGATAATATTTAACCGCAATCCAGACAGCCAATGACATTAAGGTGTGATGGTATACATGGAGAAAGGTGACTTGGTCGTATTTCTTCCGTAAGATGAAGAATACTGTGTCTAGGAGCTCCGTGAACTTCGCGAAGAAGTAGAACCATGTTGCTGCAGCTACCTGGAATTGAATAACCGTAGGTCAAGTAGCAGTCCACTTGCAAGTTCATATCGACCATGAAGGAGGAAAGTACCATTTTGTATACAAACGGATTCTGAACTATGTGAGTTCGTTGAGTCAAATTTTGTTTTCTTTTTTCTTCGATTACTATTTAATAATATGATTTTAGATGATCGTAAATAAATACATTGGTAATTATTATACAGCTGTTGCAATTTTCGTCACTATCAATAACTTTTTGTTTTGTATGAAATTTGAAGTATTTTGGTTTTGACTTCTAGCGAATAACTAATACATTTAAGTGTGAGAAAGTCATGCTTCGGCACGAATGGACTCGCTCGACCGGAGTGATACCACGGCCTCACAGAAAACCGACTTAAAACAACGCTTGCGTTGTGTTTCATTGTGTGAGTGAGGTAACCGGAGCCCCAATTACGTCCCCCCCTCCGCAGTCTCCCCAGTCAATCAATCCTCAAAATCCCAATTCCCAAAAGGCAAACTTGTGTCATACCCCTGGCCCTTAGTGTTTCGGGTGTCCATGAGCAACGCTGATTGCTCACTATCAGGTGATCCGTCCACTCGTGTACCGGCTTAAGCCATGAAAAAAACCTACCACTATAACATTAAAAATATCAGTGAAAAACCTATGTTTAGTGTCTGCGTATCATCAAATGATAATACCATGTATTATTGAGACTGAAACTGTAAAACCACATGAAAGAAATCTTTATCAAGGTTAGACACCAAAATAACAGAACGAAATACTTGACCATGAAATCTATTTACAGTTTCAATTTTGATAGCTATATTTCAGGTTACAGACTGATATATTTCAGCACCTTTATATAATATATTTCTGTTCTTGCAATTTTGTGTCATAATAACTATTGTTTTACGTGATATATTTAAATTAATGTATAATTGTATATAAATATATGTCAATGTACTGCGTGTTATATTATTGGTAGCTTAGAATATGATTATCTAATAGTTATTTTACTTCCTCCTTATACTTTATGTGTCCTTTGAGGTGGTATTTAGAAAATTCTAGTGATATTTAGAAGTCGTCTGGTTGATCTTTAATTATGTTTTCAAAAAATATAAAATAATTTAAAGGTTGTCGACAACTACAAATCAATATTTAAAGTGGTATATTTGCATGCAAGCAAATAGTAGCCTTGACTTTTAGTGGTTTCATTCTATTTATAACCGAAAATTTAGCACAAAAATGAACCTGAATGTTAATTAATTCTTAATTTTGCATAATAAAATATAAACTCACCCTAAGTGCTCGAGGGCTATCTGAATAGTCCACTGTATCACATGCTAGATTGAATTCTCTGGATAATACGTAGACACCTCCCTGAAAAAAGAAAATTATCATTTGAATATTTATAACATAACATCACGCCTTTTGTAGGGGTAGGCAGAGGATGCACACAGAAGTGACACCCACTTTTCACTATTTATGTTATGAGCATATTGCCATATACCGGGCAGACTCCGTGCTACTACTAAGATTTTTTAAAAACCCAGTAATACTTTGCCCGACCCGGGAATCGAACCCGAGACCTCTTGCCCGGCAGTCGCACTTGTGACCACTCGGTCAACGAAGCAGTCACACAGTCGAATATTTATGTTTAAATAAAAATAATATAAAAACAATCTTAAAAGACAATTTATGCATAAAACAATAAATTTAATTCAACCAAAAACACAACAAAAGATGTCATGTCATTTAAAATGTTTTATAAGTACTAGCTTTTACCCGCGGCTTCGCTCGCGTCACAAAAGGATAAAAAGTAGCCTATGTGAAATATACCAATACATACAGCGCCATCTATACCAATACTTTTGTTTTCCCTCGGGAATATAAAATTGTACCGGGATAAAAAGTACCCTATTATTTAATCCGGACTTCTAACTTTACGTCTGCAAAAATTCAAAGCAATCGGTTGAGTAGTTACGGCGTGAAAGCGGAACAAACAAACTAACAAACAAACTCACTTTCCTATTTATAATATTAGTAAGGATGACACGCAATATACCATCATCACAGACGACATTGCAGCTCATATTTATCGTTTGTTCTAATCTAACATCGTTTGGTCTATCGTGACCATGTCCATTCTTAACGTATCGTTACTTATTGACCTCAATTAGACGGTCAAAAACCTAAAAACTCGAAAGACAAAAGTAACGAATCATTTGCTACTTACGACCATAACAAGACAACATCATATTATTACAAACACACATAACTTCACGCCTTTTATCCCCGAAGAAGTAGGCAGAGGTGCACATTACTTTAACTCGTCGAGTACCGTCATTATAGACACAATTATTAATTCTACTGTACAATGCAACACCTACTTTTCACTACCTATTTATGTTATGAGACCCAGGTAATAGGATATCAGCCTATTGACATAATATACCAGGCACGATTCTAGACTCCGTGCTATTATTGAGATTTTTTTCTAAAAACCCAGTAATACTTTGCCCGAACCAGGAATCGAACCTGAGACGAAAAAATAATGTAAAATGATAGTACAAAGTCACGCCTATTAGTATAAATACAAGTACAAGCATTACAATATGTAAATGACCAGTTATTTTATAACACAATCAAAACTCAAGGACAATAATTATTTTACATATAACTAAATATCCGGGAATGTTTCTTGATTTCATTCATTATTACTTAACTCGTCGAGCACCGTTATTATAGACACAATTATAGAACAATAGGTTGCGGTCACCGGTGACCGCTTGGTGTTTGACAGTTTAATAATATAATCTTTTGTTACTCAAGAACGGTTGAACCGATTAGGCTGAAAATTGGAGGTAGTTTAAAACCAGGACACTGATATAGGATCTTTTTATTCAAGGAGTTACCGAAAATCTTACGGTAACGGAAAAAACATGATTTCACGTGCGAAGGCGCGGTCAGATCTTAGGAACTGCTAGAACAATAAAGCGCATCAGCTGTTTTCGAATTCTGCGCTTAACAACACATTACTACAGCAAAGCAAGAAGGAGAGTTATGCTTTTAGAGACCAGCTTCCGCATGATCTAGCTCTTAGAATAACGTTTACTTTTTAAGGAGTAACCGAACGCAGATTATATTTTTTGTCGACATTTTTACGGGATCGAAGGAAAAAAAATTAAATTCCAAGTGAGCGAAGTCACTGGTAGAAAACTAGTCTCAACGATTGCTGTATTTTATTTTAAGTACCTGGATAACCGAGCTATGCTTGGTGTTTATTTTTTTTGTTAACGTTATTTTCTGAAAATGAAACCTAGCTAGACCAATTTATCGCCCCCGAAAACCATAGATACAAAATGTAAAGAAAATCGCTTAAGCCGTTTCCGAGGTTGTTGATACATATATACAAGAATTGCTCGTTTAAAGGTATCAGATAACTTACTATCTAACTGATTATTATTTAACAATTCGATTAGATTGTTTTCAAATGTGCAATATCTTCATTGAAAATTTTTAACATAAGTAATAATAAGTATGTACGAATATGTTAATGTAAATCAATGTTAACATTGTGTAATGACAACTTTATAATGTTAAATAAACATTTTTTTAGTTGTTTGTTAAATCGAGTTTAAAGTACAATGTTCTAAAATGTTCCACAAGTCATTAGAATGTAGAGAATTGATTTAAAAATACTTCATAATAAATTATTATTTCCTGATATTGGTGTCTATTTTAACAATAATATTACGACGAATAAGACAATAAAGGTTAAAATTCCAAAATAATTCATTTCCTTATATTGTGTTTGCGAAACAAAACGTGTGATCTAAATAAATCATTATCAAACACCAATTCCTTATCGATTAAATTAAACTAGCTACGCTAAATAAATTCCTTTGTACGTCCGTACGTGTTTTTGTTAAAATCTCACTGACATGGATGAAATTCCTTATGTTAAGAAACACGTGGACGGTAAACGTGTTTCTTCTCAATCACTGTTTGATCTACAATCTATTACAAATATTTATAGGATAACATTCAAGTAGAATAATAATTGCTTAAGGCTTCTGAGCCTTTACAGTGAAACCGCACCGGTTTTTAACCGCATAAATCTGTGAAAAATGTAAATAAACACAAACGCAACTTGGACTTGCGGTTTTTCCCGCAACTGAAATCCCAAAATCTTGTAACAAAATAGTTGTAGATACAACTACCAAATTTGTAGTTCCTCCTAGTGGAAGGACTTAAAGTTAAAAATATCGCAGGTGATTTGGCGGTTTAAAACCGTGTCTATATGTCAGCGTTCTCACGATTAGAGCGGTTAACCAATCGCGGAAAAGTTACCGTAGTGTGGCCATAGCCTAACAACCTACATTAAAATAGAAAAGTACACACAACAAAACATGAGAAATTAACATAATCAAATATTATCGGTAGATTATGAAATATATTCATTGACTTTGACTTTGTTTGGAAAAACTATGTCGTACAAAAGTAATGGAATATGTCATTTGTTTTTTAAGGTTACGCCATGTAAAGTGCTGAGTCAATTTTAATAGATTTCGGTAAACTAATACATACATCTTAGGATGAGATAGAAGAAGATTTTTGCAAAACTGAGATTGAAGTAGTCTTGAATTGTTTTTTGAGGTAATTTTTATTGATGAGTAAAATAAATATCAACTGCTACAACTAAATCCACGAGCCAAAAGTAGTTCGAATTTAATATTGACTAAATCTTTAAATGGATATGTGAACTAGTGTATGCAAGATGGATAAAGATAACAACTACCTATTTAAATACATTACATCATTTTACTATTTTACTCAACCTTTTTAGTCACTTATGACTAACGTAGGCTTTTAAAATGTTTTTAATGAAGTCGTATCATATTTTTGGTGCTCTGGTATAAGCCTAACTGCACAATTAACGTGGAGGCTGGGCATGTGAATGTTAAACAATGTGTCGTGGATTCGATTTTCGGACGAATACATCGGTATATGATATAGGTATGGCGACAAAATCATAAACGCACCAAAGACACAGGAAAAACCCGAATCCTATACTTAGTCTTATTTTTTTGAGGGAGGAAAATCATCCAATTACTTCTCCCGCCTTGGGTTAGACGAGAGGGAGTGTCAGTCTGTTACTGATTAAAAACCACCCCGTTCCTACTCCTGCTCTTCGAGACGAAGCCCCAGCAACCCGTTAGGCCTTCCGCGGCTCCATATCGGTCATCAGCCATATTAGGCCCCATCAGTGGTATAAAGTCTGACGGTTCTTTAGGACGCACACGGAACGCGACGCACTTTACGTATGGGTCTGGTTCTGGTTGGGCGGCAGGCTACCCTTGCTCACCGTCTGCAGGGTTGTGCAGACGGTGAGCAAGTTCAACATCCAGTTCAAATCAACAACAATCCTTCATTTTAACGCAACAGGGATCCTTATAGTCATAACCAGTGACCACTGAGACCAACGCTTTCTGTTCGCAGCAAAAGTATTAAAGATATAAAAAACAAGATCTTACCTCATAAGCAATGAATATACTGAACAGGACTTGGAAGATGTTGTAGAACATAAGTAGAGTCTTCAGTTCGAATGCTGGCCTGTTTTTCATCAGCCGAGGACCCAAAGACAGGCAGAAGTAGAGGTATGCTGATGCAATAGCTATCACTGTGAACGGACTAGATACACCCCACCAGTCTTTTGTTCTCGGATCTATAAAGTTAGGAAATAATAAATAAAGATTAAAAATTCTATTATTAATATTAATCATAATATGTAATTAAGGTTTTGGTCTTAGTCAGTATTGATAATAGTATTATAAGTATTATAATATAACTTCATAAATTTTCAGTCGGCATATAACCATACTATGGTTGCAATATCAGGCGTATGACACTAAATAGAGGTATTATACCATATAATTGTGTCTAATATTAGCGCACTTCATTTAAGCCTATGTTATTGTAAAAATAAAAAAGTAAATTTTACAAATATAAGAATTTTACAATTCAAAACTAAATATAAGATCTAAAGTTTCTTTAAAAATATTGCACAAAAGATGTAAATGAATATAATATTAATGTTCTTTTACACTTTAAAATAATCATAACTGTAATAATTATCAATAAAAAAGTCAAACACTAAGATCTCCCTACATAAACACCAAATGATTTGCAATATTCTGTACAGAATAAACAGTCACGTACAGGAAAAACTACAAATAACAATACAAATAACAATAATTAAAATAATAACACTCACCAGCTAAATCGTATATCACATAATTGTAATAATCGGCAATACTTTTTAGTATTCCCGCCATTTTTATAATACTATTTATATGGACGTTATGTCTACAGGCCAGACGCTTCAATTATGAGACTACTCTCGGCAAACTGTCGAGCAACACACATACTACTTAAAACAAAATATATTCAATCAATTCGTACGCAATCCCAAAGTTACTATGCCATACAAACGTGTACTCCAACCTGAAAGGTGATTTGCCAAAACATTTATAAAGAGGTCAAAACAAACTTTGACATTAAAAATCTGAAATTTAAATCGATGTAGTTTGGGTTGTAATGATTACAAATTAATTATGTTTTTGTTAATTATTACGTACGTAAGCACGGTGATGTAGGTACTTGTTTTTACTTATGATAATTGAAAATTTATGTCAATTTAAAGAAATTTTGTTTGGTTATTTTAAAAATGTAGGTATGTATTCGGGAAAAAATTTAGATGACGGACTAAGTGACAGGAAAACCGATGATTTAACTGTTTTATGATAATATTCTCCAGAAATAGAGGTTGATGACATAAAATATAGTATATAAATACATAAATAACAGTTGAAGGTCAAACCTGAATTTGGAAGGTTATGAATCGACACAGTATACGGTGGGCAGTGAACTGGAGAAAAAAACAGAAGAGTACGGCAATGAAATGGAATAGAACAGAAGACGGTAATGATTAAACGGTAATGTTTATATAGGCTACTAATGATGATACAGTTTTATCTAGAACAGAGAAATTGTTGCTGGTACAAAAGATATAATAAAAATTTTTAATCGATTTTTAATGGCATCTCTCCGCTAGCCGAGTGCTCGGCTGCTGTCCTATGTGTTGGTTCTGTTTCTGCGATGCATATGTATGGTTATTTTGAATGTAAAAAGTCTGTTTAAAAAAATGTCAATTTCGTAAAATGTCAACTCAATTATGTAAATACTAGCTTTTACCCGCGGCTTCGCTCGCGTCACAAAAGGATAAAAAGTAGCCTATGTGACATACACACACAGCGCCATCTATACCAATAATTTTGTTTTCCCTCGGGAATATCACATTTTCCCGGGATAAAAAGTACCCTATTATTTAATCCGGACTTCTAACTTTATGTCTGCAAAAATTCAAAGCAATCGGTTTAGTAGTTACGGCTTCCGATTTATAATATTATAGTAAGGATTTAATAATTTACTCATTTCCCAAGATATACATTTTTTTTTGTTTTTTATTTATATTTAGACTCTAGCCACTTCCTCATGGTTTTACCCGCTCTGTTCAGCTCCTGTTGATCGTAGCATGATGTTTTATAGTCTGTAGCGTTCCTCGATAAATGGACTATCCGATAGAACAAAGAAATTTTGAAATCTGACCAGTAGTTCTTGAGATTATGGCGTTCAAATAAACAAACACTTTCTGATTTACATAATAAGAATAATAAGTATATGATCACCTTAGAACGGTGAGGCATTAAAAGTTGAAAAGTGCTAACTTGTTTTTAGAAGAATGGTAATTGTTGTTTATGTCTTCTCGGTCTGTAAAGAGGGCTGTACCTTGTCTCCTGAATAGATGTGACGTTGTAAATTAATAATAATTATAATAAGAATTCAAAAATATATTGACAACATTATCAGCATTATCTAACATTCTAAGATTTTGATGAATTCGTCTTTCATCTACAGCCTATATGCCCACTGCTGAGCAAAGCCTCTTCTCACACGGAGAAGGTTTGAGCATTAATCACCATGCTAGCTTATTACGGGTTGGCGATTATTAACTTATAATTAGAAATTATAAGCCCAGTTTATCCTCACGATGTTTTCCTTCACCGTTTGTCAGTGGTATCTAGATAATCTTAGAAAGTATATATAACTCGGATAAAGTCACATTAGTACTTGCCATTTGTAGGTTTCGAACCCTCATGCATGAGAGGTGGGCGTATTAAACCTCCGAGCCACCTTTTTTTAAGGGGGTAAAATCATCCAATTACTTCTCCTGCCTGGGTGAGGCGAGAGGGAGTGTCAGACTCTTAATGACTAAAAACCACCTCGTTCCTACTCCTGCACTATGAGCCGGAGCCTCGGCAACCCGTTAAGTCTTCCGCGGCTCCGTATCGGCATCAGCCCTGTTGGGCCCTATCTGTCGTGGTCTGATAGCTCCTTGAGGCGAACGCGGAACGCGACACGCCGTACGCTCGGGCCTGGTTCTGGTCGAGCGGCGAGTCACCCGTGCACGCCGTCCGCAGGCCCGTGCTTACGGTCGCGGTGGCCGGAGACCGTCTCGCGATCCCCGACGCCCGGAGTGTCTCTCGCGACGGCCGGGACGTGAGGAAGTTCGTTCCCTCAGGCTCTCTGCCTCCTCCTTAGCTAGTATAACTGCTTCGCAGAAGGAGGAGACGGCATCCCAGTCTGAACCAGAGCCAGACGCGAGAGGTCGCCGTCGCAGATCACATCCCTGAGGACACGGCGGTGTTCAGCCCACGCAGAACACACCGCCATCGTATGCTCCACCGTGTCCTACCACCTGGCACCTGCGTCAGGGGGTAGGTGAGAACGCCGTACGGTAGTGTCTTTCAACCCACTCCTCAAAGAGGGGACTTACCGCTGCAATGACCTCCAAGCCACCGCGACTATATTCGTCTTGTTAAAAGTATTTTTCTATTTGAACCACGTGTAAAAATTTTCGCACTTTTCATGACATTGGCCTTTAAAGTGTGTGGAACAAATTATCAGCCCAAAGTTTGTGATATGTTTATTTGGCAATTTGCTAATTTTTATGTTTCTGGTTTTCCATTCTCAGTTAGTAAGTAGGTGTCGTACTAATATTATAAGAATGCAAGTTTTTATGTTTTTTTGTTTGTTACTGCTTCATGTCAAAATGGTTGTAAGGATGGGAATTAAACTTCAAACCGGAATAGAGTTTTTTTTTTAAGGGCGGAAAATCATCGAATGACTGCTTCCGCATGGGTGAGGCGGGAGGGAGTGTCAGACTCTTACTGACTTGAAGTGGGGTATACCTTATTGTAGTTAGTAGTTAGTGGGTCAGATTAAAGAGCACCGTGAAACGAGACAGACGTATTGTTTTATTTTACACTAGCTCCCCACACCTCAGACTAAAAACCACCCCGTTCCTTCTCCTGCACGTCGAGCTGGAGCCCCGGCTACCCGTTAGGTTTTCCGCGACAGACCGGGATAGAGTACGGTGTGAAATATTAAATATTACATAGCTGGCAGAAGCTAGTTTTCGAAATATCTGAAAGTGCAAGTCTTTTTGTTTCTTAGGTTTTGTAGTTATCTACCTATTATGGTCATATTTTCATTCTATATTTTACCATGTCATATAGTTACGTAATGTAACATAGGCACATAATATTGATAATATTCTTATTTTGTTTAAAAACTTTTCTTCAAATTAATGCCATAAGTAGTTTCAAGCATAACCATTAATTGTAGTACGCAAGAATATGCAGTTATATTTACACTAACTTTTGCCCGCGGATTTGCGCGCGTAATTCTTTATTTCATTGGAACATTTAATCGGGATAAAAAGTCCTCGGGATCCTGAAGGACAGGCTGGGGCCTGTATACAAAACTTCATCAAACTCCGTTCAATAGTTTCAGTGTGATTGACGGACAAATATTCAAACAAAGAAATTTTAACGTTTATAATATTATTGATATTGATTGTTCAATTACGGCAATTATCACTTTATAGAAACACTCAAATATTATAAGATAAAAATCAAATATAATAACAATATCTAACTAAAACGCCCATTAATAAATGTACCCCAATAATTATTAAATTGTGAAACATTAGATAAATATTGATTGACATTAAACAGGTTTTCATAGGTCTCCCAAAGTTCAATAGGGGATAAAAACCGGTAATGGTAATGACGATGGAACCGGTTTTCGTTTATCACCACGTGTTCTTCATCACAAACCAAATTACGAGAGGACGTGAAAGGAATATTTTAGAAACAGGATAATATTAGTTTTCAATGGCAATAGGCTCACTCCCTATTACATAGGGCTCATAACATAATTAGTGAAACTTAAAAAAATGCGTTTAAAAAAACCGACTTCAAAAACTAATGACAAACCAAAAGTAAAAACTAAAAAGGAAAAAAATAACTACCTATTTGTGGTCATACGTACTTATAGCTTACACACCCACTGATAGGTTACAAGTCGGTGCCGAAAGTTTTAAACAAAATTATTCATTATTAAAACCTAACTAGATACCTAACATTATCGAGCTATTTACAATTTTATTATGGATTATACCAGCTGTGACCATTAACTACTTTATATTTTGTGTGAACCTCCTCCTTTTTTTGAAGTCGGTTAATAAAAAGTGGGTGTTACATTGTACAGAGGCATTAAGTGCCATAGTGTACATACACCTATACCTAACTAACCCTTCCGGGATAAAAGGCGTGATGCTATGTTATTTAACAACATTTTAAAAGGTGACGTCACACAATTCTATCTCCTGCATGTGGAGTTGCAGTTGCAGCACGTGAATAGACATGCATAGAATATCTCAACGAACAATATTGCGCAGTAGCCCGCTAGTTATTATCACCTCGCCTGTTCCGAGAATCTTCCTGTGTTGTGAGAAAACCAATGAACATAGGTTTCCCCAACATAAATGTATCTATACGAGGTTTTGGCAAAAGTGTCATAATTCCGAGTATTTTTTGTATTAATTTTATTATGATAATTTCTTAGTTTATCACTTACAGGCGTAACTTCTTAATTTACGATTACGAAAAATCCACAACATTTGTTTATAGTTTATAGTCTACACATTGGAAATAGGGTCTATAAAGGAGTAGGTGAAGAGCGGCCACCGGTGACTGCTTGCCCCCCAAGCGATAAGAAGTTAGGCATAAGTGATTGGTGACCGCTTGCCCCCCAAGCGATAAGAAATTAGGCATAAGTGATAATTTTCTAAGAAAATAATAATATAATACAAAAAAAAAACAAAAAAATATTTATATTCACTAAGCAAAAACATATTGCTAAGTCAAAAACAATAGGCACTTTTTGAGTGATAGTACTATTACACCAAATTAAAGTTGGGATTCTTTATCAATTAACAGTAGGTATGCATTCTCGGATAAATCCTAGTAGAGACTAGTGTTGGTTTCAAAACATATTCTTATTTATCCTCTATATTTTCTCTTATGTAGGTAAATCCCTTTTAGTTTCCTAGAAATTAATAAAAATATTTTCGAAAAATGAGTCAGTTTTGTTAAACACTTATTAAAGATTTCAATAACATTATTAAAGTAAACTCAACTGGAATTGCTAGGAGTGAAATTTGTTGTAGACTTTCGTTTCTTTATTTTAGAATACTTATTTGTTATTTTTATTGCGATTACCAAATATTATTTTATAACAATTTCAGTGTGGGAGGGTCATGCTTCGGCACGAGTGGGCCGGCTCGATCAGAGTGATACCATGGCCTCGCAGAAAACTGACTCATCGGATGTACAACTCACTCAGGTGACTCATCGGATCGTATACTGACTTATCCCATAAAGAAAACAATAACCAAGAAAATGCAGCAATGAAAGTAATGAAATTATCTATTATTTTTAGCAGCATTGTTTTATTTTAATATTTTTACCCGATTGTAGGAATACTCTCCTAAATATGTAGTTATTTTTGGGGAGGTGACATTATTATCGCAACTAGTAGTTAGTAGGTTTAAATAACAATATATTAGAGGTATATATTACTATATATGTAAACATTAAAATTTCCTGATATGTGATAATTTCCTGAAACTACATTATATATCTAGACATAACATACAATCATTAAATTATATCAATAAATCCCAAAAGAAAAACCAATACATAGCAATAACATAACATTTATTTTACAATTAATTATATAAATTACAATCACTCGAATCAAACCTCACAAACATAGAAGCATCGATAGCAGACAATTAATTATACTTATTTGTATGTCATCTTTAATAAAATACATAACTATAATAACATAACATAATGAGTATTAGCAGGTGTAGATATAGACTAATAGTAGAATAACTATTTTTAATAATAGGTATAGAGAATTTTCATAAATAGCTATATCGTAAACTATAGTCTGAAGTCGGTTAGTTGATAAAACTAAAACCTAAGTGTAACGTAAACACTTTTCTGGAAACCGCATCAAAATCAGTTTAGCCGATCGCGAGATAATCTTGAATATATATACATACATACTAACTACTTACATACAAACATTACATGTACACATATGTACCTACAGGTCAAACTAAAAATGTACTTTTTGAAGTCGGTTAAAAATGCATTTCGATCAACGTTTTTCAGTAGTCCAAAAATCTTTTACAATCGACGATTACGATTCACATGACAATATAATATATTTTTTGAAACGTTGTCCCACACTATGATTTTCTCCTTTGTCGTGGGTGCGTTTACAAACATACAAGTTCACATATATACAGCACAACCAGACCCGAAACAACAATTTCTGGATCACACAAAGAGTTATTCCGTGTAATCGAACCCGCGACAATTTGCGCGGCAGCCGGTTGCCCAGCCATCGCACTAATTGCGTAGTCATTTAGTATATACTAGCGACCCGCCCCGGCTTCGCACGGGTGCAATATGTATGTATTATAGAGGTATATATAAATCGTTCTTAAGAATAACTCTATTAAAAAAAACCGCATCAAAATCCGTTACGTAGTTTTAAAGATCTAAGCATACATAGGGACAGACAGACGGTGGATAGCGACTTTGTTCTATACTATGTAGTGATACTGTGATATTAATATGTATTATAAAATATTGCAGAGTATACTAATGTATACTCTGCAATATTTTACAACTTCAGCTATATAGTAGTGCTTCAAAATATAGGTAGCCTACAAACTCAGGCAGTCCAATCATCTTAAATCAACTATGAATCACATCTGATCACAACTTAGCTTCACATTAAATCGATGTGTAGGACTAGTTAGTCTTAAAATTAGTCTAAATCAGTTTAGTTATTAATTAGCTTTGACTTTACTTGTGCCATTTTTGAGATTTCCGTTGGAATTTGATTTATTTTCTTTAACATAAGACACGTAGTAGAAATTGCCGAACATGTAAAGGAATTGTAGACTATGAACACAGAGGATAGTGGAGATCCATCTTGGATAGCCGCAGTTTTCGTATAGAGCAGACAGGTTGTGAAGGAAGATTGTGGCGAACTGGACCTGTGGAAGAAAGAAAAATAGGTGTATTTAAGTTTTGCACTGTGATATTAACATTCTATCGATAATGTATATATACATATATTGGTCGACTGCCGCGATCGTAGGGGCAAGAGGTTTCCGGTTCGATTGTCGAAGTCGAGCAAAGTATTGCTGGGTCTTTAAAATAAATCTCAGTAGTAGCACGAAAACTGCCCGGTATATGGCAATAAGCTTATAGGTTTATGTATAAATAGTGAAAAGTGGGTGTTACATTGTACAGTGTCGAAATGTGCACCTCTGCCTGTCCCTTCGGGGATAAAAGGCGTGAAGTTATATTATGTATATATTTGGTATAATGTAAATATATATATAACCGATTATTATCGTATGCTTATTATTTTTCGTGATCTTGATATTGATGGCTTTCATTATTTTGGTTTTGAAGTGATTTGTAGTATATTAGTCTAAACAGTGAATAAAAATAAGTAAGTAGTTCATCAATCAAAAACGTTATTGTAACATATAAGTAGATTACTAAATATTATTCATAGTTTGGCAACAGTTGGTAGCAAACAAATAAATACTTGTTTGTTTTTTTTTTCTTATACGTAACATTAAGCATTATGTACTTACCAACTGCATAGTAGTGAGGTGCTTTTTCCACCAGATATATTTCTGGTACTTAGGACCAAGTCCTGCGATGAGGTAGTAAGTATACATCACTACGTGGACAAAACTGTTTATGAGGCCAAGCAGAGTTGCGTGGCCATCTGAAAATTAAAATATTAATTTATCAAATATAAACACTTAAATATATGACTTTTTCCGAGTTATTATGTACTTTCTAAGATTATCTAGACACCACTGATAAACGGTGAAGGAAAACATCGTAAGGAAACCTGGGCTTATATTTTCTAATTATAAGTAAGAATTCGCCAACCCGCATTGAGCGAGCGTGGTGATCAATCCTCAAGACATCTCTGTGTGAGAAGAGGTTATGCTGAGCATTGAGCATTTATAGACTGTTGATGTCAAATATTTAAGTACATACATAAATATCTATCATTTTCAAATTATAAATACTTATCATTTTCAATATTAAATTTCGACTATTTACTACTATTTTTCTTCTAACATTTATGTATATTGTAGTTTAAGTAATCGGTGCTCAGATATTATTTTCAGGCTCTCTTTATATTTATATTGTGTTTTTTAATTATTCTCGTATTTCAATGCTGTTCATTTTTTTTTTGTTTTTTACTAATTTGTCACATTTTATAACGGCACAAAGTAAATCAATACTTACTGGGGTAGTATTTGAGTCCAATATACGATGCAAGGGGCATCATAGAATGGTGGAAAAGATGCAGGAAAGATATTTGCCTGTCTTTTTTTCTTAAAACGAAGAAAACTGTGTCAAGCATGTCGATAAACTTAACAACGGTGTAGGTCCAGAACGCTTTGTGCATCTGAAAGGATACGTAAGTAAATTATTTATTTTCATGTCTTATGGGGCATAGAATTAGGTATGATTTATTTTGCACCATTATTTTACATACATATAATATACTAGCGACCCGCTCTGGCTTCGCACAGGTATAATATGCATATATTGTACAATATAAACCTTCCTTAAGAATCACTCTATCTATTAAAAAACCACATCAAAATCCTTTGCGTAGTTTTAAAGATCTAAGCATACAAAGGGACAGACAGACGGTGGATAGCGACTTTGTTTTATACTATGTAGTGTAAAATAAGAATGATAATGGTAACAAGGTGGTCGCTGAAAGTGATGTCTTTCCTAAATTGCTTTCAGACAACGTTGGGATTAAAAAAGTATATTCAGAAAACACTTAGTAGACCAGGGGTCGATAATTTTTTAAACAAAAAAGAATTACAGGAAGATTAAACTCATTAAAAATGAAACGAAATTATGATAAAAATGGAAGAAAAACAAATTACGATAGCTTCGAGATCGGAAAATGGGAGCGGTGAGCTTTTAAGTTTTATTTTATTTCTGGCAAAACTACAAGTCCTATGGATAAAAAATACACGGCAAATTTGTAGATATTGAAAAGATAAACAACTTTTGTGTTTACACTTTTTATACATTTTTAAACAAAACAATTGAATTACTTAAAATAACGACAGAATTATTCAAATGTCTACTCACCGTTCGAGATGTAGGGTTGTCAGTCTCATCTACAGGCTGGCACGTCCAACTGTATGTAGAAAACCAACCACTGTATAGGCCCTGTAACATATTAAGTACAGATTAACAAAGTTACCATGCTTTACTTATATTGAAACTGTGGAGGGACGTGTTAGTTTGCCTTTGACGTCAAAGTCAACGGGGTAATTTTATAGATATAATAATATAGATGGACGCGTAAAGTCATTTAAAGTCTACTATTTTATTTTTTTATACGGTCTTTACAAATTACAGGAAAATTTTCAGACGTCTCGACGATTCTAACAATCTATACAGGGTGTAAACGGAACGGTCCTGTGCCTTTAGCGCTTGTCTACCGAGACAGCAGAAAACTAAATGTATGAGGATGACACTGACAAAATGTACGTCATTTTCATATAATTTAGTTTTCTACTCTACAAGTAGACAAGCGCTAAATGGCATTTGGCTACAGTTGAAGAAACGCTGACAAAAAGAAGTTGTTTTTTAAATTTTTGTTTTTGTGCAGCCTGGGGCAGTTGATTACAACTACTATTACATAAAGGAAACATTTAATTCCTAACTTTTATGAAAACAAAACCTATTTTCTTATCATCACCTGTGTGCGTTCCGGTTACACCCTGTACAACCAAGACCAGCTCGGTCAGCTTGACTATCGCTTAGCAAATATCGCAATAAGTTTAAAATATGCTTACCAAATAAACTATGTAACCGCTGGCAATTATTTGGAATATATTATAAATCATGATGAGCCTTTTTAACTTGAACGGCTTTTGATCTTTCATAAGTTGTGGGCCCAATTTGTTGCAGAAATATAAATAGAATGGAATGATTGTATATACCACTACAGGAGATGGAGACCAATCTCTGGTCCTTGGATCTGGAAAGAAAAATAATAATATTATTATATTTAACGTGTACAAAGTATTTGGTGCATGGACCAACATAACTTTTTCAGGGATTTGGAAGATCGTTACCTAGCTTCTACCCGTAAACCTTTCGTCCCAAATGGTACAGTTAGTTATAGAGGTATAGTATAGTTTTTTATTGAAATCCATTTGTACAAAACAAAAATTATTAAGTTTTAAGATACATTAGTTACATAGTATTGTAAACGTAAGAATAAACAAATATAAGCATAAAGCTCCGAACTGCTAAGCTATCGGGAGTTATACGTGTTATTGTAAGTCAACCATAAAATGTAGACATGTGCTATTGTGGGATATTATTTAGATAATTTTATGTAAAACATTTCCGTCATACATGATTTCTATGTAGCTTTAACTATTAAGCCTGCACACGCGACGGAAGCTTAAAAAATGGAGTAACTTCTCCCGTTTTCCCAATATTTCCCTTCACTGCTCTGCTCCTATTGACTGTAGCATAATGAAAAGTATACTATAACCTGCCTAAGAGTATGAAGAATAATTGTGCTAAATTTCGTTAAAATCCGTCAAGTAGTTTTTGTTTCCATAACGAACATACAGACAGACAGAGAGACAGACAGACAAAAATTTTACTGATTGCATTTTTGGCATCAGTAGCGATCCCTAACCACCTCTTGATAGTTATTTTTTAAATATATTTTATGTACAGAATTGACCTCTCTACAGATTTATTATAAGTATAGATAGATAGATAGATAGATGTATCATGAAAGTTACAATACAAATAAATTTTGTCGGTCCATGCACCAGCCACCTTGTAGTAAGATGTCGCTTGAATATATGTAAAAGTTATGTGTTACTGCCAAATACTAAAAGGTTACTTAATTTAAAGTTGTACTTAAGTATCGTACCATCTCTGGCATTTCACAAAGTATTTGTAGTGACCGCAGTACAGAACTATGCTTAAGCGCGACTACAAATTGAATCTTTCAGTACCTACATATTCGGGCGATACACCTATTTTTAATTTATACACATTATTATGACGCTATACGACACGAAATTATTATGCACACATGTATAAAATGTGTAATTAACTTTTCTTCAATTGTAAGTCGTGTATTTTAGTTAGCGACAACTAATAAATAAATAATACATATAAATTTTTACGTTTTGCACTGACCTTGACGTATACAATTCTACCTCTATATGTTAATTTTATGTATTTAGATTTGATCTTTACCCTAAGAATATACTGTAAATCAATCATTTACACAAGTCTTGAATACATACATAAAATATAATTATATTTTCACAATGTTTTTGAAAATGACAATCTTTATTTGTCTATGTCTAGGTGTGGTCATTAATGTTTTTTTTAAGGCGGGAAAATCATCGAATGACTGCTCCCGCCTGGGCGAGGCGGGAGGGAGTGTCAGACTCTTACTGACTAAAAACTACCCCGTTCCTTCTCCTGCACGTCGAGCCGGAGCCCCGGTTACCCGTTAGGTTCTCCGCGACTCCGAATCGGCATCAGCCCTATTGGGCCCCATCTGTGATGGTCTAATGGCTCTTTGAGGCGCGCGTGGAACGCGACGCGCCGTATGCTCGGTCCGCAGGCCCGCGCTTACGGTGGCCTGAGATCGTCCCGCGATCCCCGACGCCCGGTGTGTCCTTCGCGATGGCTGGGTTGCGAGGAGGCAGCGCTTCGCTGCCCCACGCGTCCCGCCTCCTCCTTAGCTAGCATGACTGCTTCGCAAAAGGAGGAGACGGCATCCCAGTCCCCCTCGCTCCGCATTATGGCCTGCACTAGGCCCGAGAGGTCGCCATCGACTACAGTTTACAATATGATGAAAACCACAGTTTAGAATATAAATAATTATAATATGTATATTGTTACAAGTACATAATGATCAGAAATATTAAAATGTAATTATAACTAGTTCAAATACTTTCAACACGTTTGACGAGTTTTAACTGATTACATTATTCGTAGAGATTTTTGTGCATTCAATCTTATATTTTTTTTTATTAGAAATAATGATTAAAGTTGTAAAATTACTTACAAAAGTTTTAACTGACAGAACGTATTTCTAAATTATTTATTATTTATTTATTTTGGTTAACCAACAATTGTTTACACTATATACATTACTGATTAAAAAGCTATAGAAACATTTACAAGTGCAACAATTAATTATAGGTTAACACCACATGCAAAAAATAAAACGATAATAATAATTATGTATACCTACATTAATCTATATATCTATATCTATATATCTATATATAAATAAAAATTAATTTCTGTTCGTTAGTCTCGCTAAAACTCGAGAACGGCTGAACTGATTTGGCTAATTTTGGTCTTGATAGGTTCGTGGAAGTCTAGGGAAGGTTTAAAAGGTAAGAAAAAACTTTTAGGCGGTACGAAATTTGCCGGGTCAGCTAGTTAATAATAAAATATTATTTATTAATATAATTCATGAGTGACCATCCTTACTTAATATTATAAATTGGAAAGTGAGTTTGTTTGTTTGTTCCGCTTTCACGCCGTAACTACCAAACCGATTGCTTTGAATTTTTGCAGACGTAAAGTTAAAAGTCCGGATTAAATAATAGGGTACTTTTTAACCCAGACAAATTTGATATTTCCGAGGGAAAACAGAAGTATTGGTACAGATGGCGCTGTATGTATTGGTATATGTCACATAGGCTACTTTTTATCCTTTTGTGACGCAAGCGAAGCCGCGGGTAAAAGCTAGTAGCTAAAGAAATAAAAAATAGTAAGTATGTACTTATTGTTTCCAACATCCAGTACCGAAAAAAAGGAGTTATTTTATACAATTAATATTTAGACAAAGTGTGCCCGCGACTCCGTCCCTGTGGAATAGTCACTTTGGATAGTCAAAATCAAGGACAATTTATTTTAATTAGACCAGAAAGGAACGTCAACAAAAAATTAAAAGTGAAGGTATTTACTCATTCCAAGGTCCTTAGGTCCTTTTTTAATAAGGTTCACAGTACAATTCTTTAGTTACATCGTTTTGCTGTTTGGATTGCACGAGAACAATGTAGCACTAAAATCCTTTCAAAGAGCTCAAAAAGAAATAATACTATACTTAGATAATAATATATAGGTAGCGTGATTTCTATGGGAAATAAAGCTTCATCATTTCTCACAGACTTTTAAATGTAAGTATTTATGTATTATAATAATTTTATCTCTTTGATGTCTTTGAAATCGAGCCATTTATTATTACAAAATATTTTTTTGCTTCATTTTGAACATTACAATTAATGTGATTGTATTATTCTTTTTATACTAAAATGAAAATTAACTCGTCGAGTACCGGTTTTGTAGACACAATTATAGAACAATAGGTTGCGGTCACCGGTGACCGCTTGGTGTTTGATAGTTTAATTTACGCATTTCTTATTGGAAAAGCTTAAGATTATCTAATAAAGTAAGCCAGCTATTCTATTTTTATTTTACTTTTTTATTATTATAAATGTATAATAAATTGTAATAAATTAGGAAATATGCTATAAAATTGAATAAAAACCACAACAAAACTTACCACAAAGATCATAAAAAATATAGTCATATGTCTCCTTCATTCTGCCTAACAGCGACATCTTGATTTAAATTCCTAAACTAATATTATAGCACTATTTAATTTTCCTTCTCTGAGAGAATTTTCGAGCCTAATGGTTCACTTCTACACTTAAACTAAACACAAACATCGGTGCACATTGATTTTATTCACCATTAAAGTTTCACTAAACGAATTCTTTGTATCACTAATTAGTATCGTCATGAATTGTAAAGCACATTTGTAATTAATGACTTTATTATTTATTTGGCATGTCTAATAAGGTGTACCTATACTGTCTGTCTATTTATTTGCTGAAGATAATTTTAGGCTTACCAGTAACCACCTGGAGTATGTGGATCAGTTCATCTGGTTATCTGGGCCTCTTATCGAAAGTGAGATCCGAAAGAGAATCCAGATGTCCAAATCATCAATGACGGAACTCACCAAGATATGGAAGGACCGGAACATATCTCTAAAAACCAAAGTAAAGCTGATGCGTACGCTGGTTTTCTCCATATTCTTGTATGGCGTCTAATCGTGCACCCTAAGGAAAACTGAGGTAACAAAGATGTACCTACGCCTTTAAATTGTGGTGCTAGAGACGGACCGCTCGCCGCACCAACGTCTCCATTTTCAAGGAGATCGGAATTACCATGTAGAGACCCCGAAAATCTGGGGAAGCTAGTGGCTATTGGTCAGGTTAACGGGAAAAGACTACTACATTCATCTACCTGTTGGCTAAATGCGGTAAAAAACTACACCGGCCTGACATTTCCACAAGCCACAAAGACTGCAATAGACGGGGGCGCTTGAAGAAGGGTTGTGCATCAAGTGACGCGTGCACCAGACTACGCTTTTTAGTACGCTTAATTTTTATTTATTTATTTATGAGTTAAGTTTGAGTCTAGTATTTTAAGAGATCCAGTTACTACATAGATAGGTCGCCTACGATGATAAACCTACGACTTAATCAGCCAATTATTTGATGGAATAGAAGCATATATTCCACAGAAATGACTTTTACTGTCTTACTCAGAGATATCTAATGACTTCTTAAACTTTTCCTTAATACAATAATAATCAACTGATAAAAACTTGTCATTCACGTAAAATTAGAATGTGTAGCCAAACAAAAATGAACGCTATTGAACAGATTCTTCAGTTGAAAATGTAATTAATGTCGTTCCTTCTATTTATTTATTACATTAGTTACCGACATTTGAGTCCTTTGTATAGCTATGAACGTCTTCCGAATGATGATGTTAATGAGCTACTTCAGAAAAGATTTTTAAATGAAAGTCCCTTATCGCACATTCTAATTTCTAAAACTGTTATTTAGGTACTGTGTCTACGACAAAAATAAAATCAGTCAACGAAATGGTTAATTTTCTTCGCTTCTACTGTCAATTTATTATAAAAACTATGGCAATGATGATATTAATGTAGGGTTCTATATTAGTCGCGGAGAACCTAACGGGTTACCGGGGCTCTGGCTCGACGTGCAGGAGAAGGAACGGGGTGGTTTTTAGTCAGTAAGAGTCTGACACTCCCTGACAGCAGGGATTCGATGATTTTCCCCCTTAAAAAAAGAGTTCTATACTTCAGGCTAAACACTCAATCAGAATCAATCAGATGCACCCTTTGATATACTCTTTTATTGTCATTTTAAATTGTATATTTGGTAATATGGAACATTTACGCGAATTCATTCTGATTTTCCAACAGACAAAAGCTATCTACATACAAACGAACAAAGTCATCGTGTTAACGCAAATATTTAAAAGCATTTGATTATAAATCATTTATATATTTAAATTATATTCGTGTTCGACAACTTTTTTCAACCATTTAAATCATTGTTAAATTTTATTGCCGTTATTGTAAATCCAAATAGTACTACACAATATGTGTGTGTCATTATTATTATTGTTTGAAAGTCGAACAATGTGGTTTTCGCTTAACTGTTAACCACGTGGTTTAGATATATGTAATTAAATAACGCAGGAACCACAGGATAGTTCTTTAGGAAATATTATTATCTGTCTTTATCTTCAAAAGCCCGACAATTTTATCCAAGTATGAAAATATCCAGCACAGGTACTGCTACATAAGGGTCTACAGATTTGCGTGCGATTTTAAACTGTCAAACACTGAGCGGTCACCGGTTGATTGCAACCTATTGTTCTATAATTGTGTCTATAATGACGGTATTCAACAAGTTAAAGTAGGCCTTAGTGACTTTTTTGCAAATCGAGTATCGAACGGGTTAGTAAATGGACACTATATTTAATGTATGGAAGTGATTCTGTAAGTGTTTATTATTTTATGGTTTGTCAGAAAGATAATGCTCATCATAGTATTATTAGAAGTCATCACAAGCTTTGTCTGTCTAGCTGTCGGCATTCCCTCTATTGTTTCCATACTACACCTTTGTGTACCATTATATGTACTTTTGATTTGGATTGTAAATGTATGTCGGTGTATTTCCCTGATATATTTTTGATCATATCTTTATATCACGTCTTTTATCCCCGAATGGGCAGGCAGAGGTGCACATTACGGCACTTGCAGCCAGTTTCAATAATCTATCTATGAGTAGATTTGCTTACTAGAGATAGAATTTTGACATGAGCTCCATACAAAATGTGTCAAAATCCTATCTTTAGTAAGCAAATCTACAGATAGATAGGTTATTGAAACTAGACGTTAATGCCACTATACCATGTGACGCCCACTTTGTGACATCATTATATAAAATGTTTGAATAAGTTAGGAAAAATAAAACAAAATAACATCAATTTACCCATATATTTCAATCCTCATAAACTAACAAGTCTTATTGCATTGTTTATGTCGGGAACAAATAATAATTAAATTATTATCAATAATTCAAATATAGATTTATTTACAGGCATGTAAATTCGATACAAAATATCTGATATCGGTTAGTATTATTGTTGTCGCTAAATATTATTGTTTTTCTCTGTACACAACTCTTTGGTTGATATTTGTATTATCTTGCTCGCTTAATTTATATCTAGTGGTAACCAAAGGATATTGTTTCATTAAAATTAAAAAATGAATACCCTGATTTTATTTTGTATACGCTCTAAAAATATCTATTTCGTCCACTGCAACCACTTGTATCAAGTAAAATATTAATATACGTAACTTTATAAGTATCACTAATTTATTTAGCATTAAAATAAATAAATACACTTAATAATCGTACATAATATAAAAAGAAAAATAAATAACTAAACCAAAAAAAAACAAACTAAGAAAAACATAAGATCGGCAGAATAAAGAGCCTCCAAACAAAATGCTAAATAAATAAGTCATACATATATGTGGAAATAACTTTTCATTACAGCGACGTGTATAACAAAATACAGGTTTGTATTTGAAATTAGGGCAAATAATTAATCAATATATGTCATTGATTCAATAATAACATAATACCTTAACCAAAAATTACAACTATTTATACAAATATACAGTCATTAGCCTATAAAAATGGTAAAAGTCTATTATGCTTACTAACATAGTACTTAATTAAGTGTTATAGATTTTGAAAATTGCTGTGTGAAACAAAATAGAAGTCAAAATAATGAATTAAATAATAACTGTATAAGCGTAAAGGTATGAGTAACATTAAATTGACAAACATAATGAAAAAGAGAAGGATCAAAATTGAGCAAAGATCATTTAAATCTTAAGATCATTAATGAGCAACAAAAATGAGTAAACACACAGTTTCAAAACCTCTAACACAAATCTATCACATAAAGAAGCTAGACACAATCTAGCTGCAATTTAATTAACTAAAACGATCACAATTATAATTATAAAGTCTTTGTATTAGCACTCTTTCGCTTTTTCACTTTTTACCTGAGGAGTTTGGACTGCTGTCTTATTTTTGATGTAGTTTACATAGTAGAAGTTACCGAACATGTAAAGGAAGAGGCCAGCGTTGAGAGAAAGTAAGAAGTTGATGAACTTAGGGTAGTTGCATTCGCAGAACATAACGCTGAAGTTGTGGTAGAAGATGATGCAGAACTGGATCTGGAAAGAGAGAAAATAATTGCCAAAAATGTTCAGAACACCAGTCAAATTTTACGACGATAAAGATCGATCAAAAATGGCATAATTTCACATGTAAAGTTTTTTTTCCTTAAGTTTGTCTGTGATGGTCATACCATTTCGAAAAGTAAGAACGAACGATTCGAGATATGGATAAACTGTTAATAAACACTATTTTTTCTATTTTTGGGAAACACAAAACTTTTTTATCCTCAGTCAAATATTTGCTTGAATTAATTAGACTTTTTTACTAAATATGACATCAATCTGTTTCTATAGGCAAATCATTATTTATTCATACTTCTTTATGTAAGTAGGCTTTGAGATTAATTTACATAATACAAATATAGGCCTATTTGTTTGTCTTAATTCAATTTCAATACATGTCCGAATTCTTTAAGCGTGACCTTCTACAAAACAGGTTAATCTTGTGATTATACAGACTTCATTCTATTTCAATCACCGTAATTAATTTTTTGCGTTAAGTATATTGAGATTTAGGAAGTGATTAAGTAAAATCAGGATTTTGTATTAGATCATTTATATACTAGACCAAAATTTTGGGTTCTATCAATATTTTGATCTTTTAAATATTTCGAAATAATTCTAAATCTTCTCTGTAAAGTACATTGGTAGATAATTTGCATGGCATTTAAACCACTGATATTCGTAGGCATACATAGATAAATAAAATTCAGTCAACTTACCAGCTGCATCGTAGTGAGGTGCTTCTTCCACCACAGGTACTTCTGGTATTGGGGTCCAAGACCGGAGATCAGGTAGTAAGTGTACATTATAATGTGGATGAAAGAGTTGATCACTCCAAGAAGAGTGCCATGACCACCTGGAATGTAACAAAACTTTTGTTAAGTGGACTCTTGTTATTATTACTCAATAGAACAATACATGCAGACGTTTTTATAATAACTATCGTGATACATACTAAATTAACTAAAAATCGCGGGTTACTCAGTAGGCTGCGCGACATCGCTGCAACCGCGCACGCTGCTCATGAGAAAGAACCTCTCTATGGTTTGAAACTAGTAGAACTTTTCTCAGTATATTCACGTGAGTAACCCGCGATTTTTAGTTAACACGAAGAAGTGTTTCTTTTTGAGTTTTTCATATTGCTTAATCTCAAAGATACTCTTACTCTCATGTTTGGAGATTATATCAGTCGTGTTTAGAGTCACTTTATTAATCATTTAGAACTTAAGCATCTTTATCACGTTTCATCATCACTCATACGTCTCTCAACTCTCTAGCCTAACAGAATTGATTCAAGACATACCAGGCAAGAATTTGACTCCGATCCACGCGCATATTGGCATCATGAAATGATGATACAAATGCAAAAAGGTGATCTGCCTGTTCTTTTTTCTTAGGACGAAGAAGATCGTGTCCAGAAGCTCAATGATCTTGGCTGCAAAGTACCACCACACTGCGGCCGCCATCTGAAAAAAAAAACGTGGAATTGCATTAGAACTATTGTTATGAAAAATAGATAGAGTACGAAAGGATATTTTAATTTATTAGTATATGTTGGTCTACCTCACATTGTTAATTCTTTTGTCGTTCGATTTAAAGATCAAATTCTTGATTTCTTCAATGAACGAAGATTTAGATACCTACATACCGTGTCAATTTGTTTCTTTGTATCATGTACTACACTTATTTTTTTCTTTCCTATTAGTGAAAAGCTATACTTACCCTGTTAGCCTTGGGACTGTTCGAGTAATCAACTGGCTGGCATGAGAAGTTGTAATCGTTCCACCATCCAGCTGCCATGCCCTGGAAAGAAATTGGACAAAATTAATTAAAATGATTAAAGGACGTAGTCATCTATATCGTTGCAAATATTTCATCATTATTTTCTAGTAAGTAAAACAAAGTCTACATAAGTTAGCAAAACAAAAGTGGATTACATTTAAAAAATCATCATTATCATCATCAAGCCCGCTTAAATCCACTGCTTGACCATGGTCAAAATAGAACAAGCTCATGAGCCTCTTTTACAAAAGAGGGGTTTGTCATAATATTCATGCCTGTTTCAGGAATCAAATTCCTTTAAAACTTTTATAAAACTCACCTCATAAACCAAATATATGCTCATCAAAATTTGTGAGATATTGTACAGTATCATGGTGTTCTTCAGGTCATAAGGTTTCCTGTCCCTCATGTAGCGAGGGCCGACAGAGGTGCAGAAGTAAACATAGGAGGCGAGGATGGTGAGCAGAGGTCCTGGTCCAGACATCAGCCACCAGTTCTCCGTCCGTGGATCTGGAAAAGAGAAAATTGGGTTATTAGATAATTATGAATATATAGTGATCATCAAAATTGGTTCCGCGTTAGATAGATGCTATAGGTAAAATATTTTTGTGCCTCTTATCCTTACTCATATTATAAATCGGAAAGTGAGTTTGTTTGTTTGTTTGTTCGTTCCGCTTTCACGCCATAACTACTAAACCGATTGCTTTTAATTTTTGCAGATGTATAGTTAGAAGTCCGGATTAAATAATAGGGTAATTTTTATCCCGGAAAAATTTTATATTCCCAAGGGAAAACAAAAGTATTGGTACAGATGGCGCTGTGTGTATTGGTATATGTCACATTGGTTTTTTATCCTTTTGTGACGCGAGCGAAGCCGCTGGTAATAGCTAGTGTTAAATAAAATTAAAAGGCACCATCAGAACGTAAAAACTGTTTGTTAATTCATATTTACTGATAGCCCGATTTTAACAACGTTTAATAAACCACGTTATATGGAGAATACAATATTGTTAATGAAGTCTCATTTAAATTCACAATTAATAAATGAATGTGAACATTCCTGCATTCTAATTGCGAACTTAAACACAATACATTACATAAAGAAGGACTTCATGTACCTACACATAAAACTAAATAATCCAGCTTATCATGATCTTGCTTCGTAGGAACTTTAGGCACATTCTACGGTCAGTATATACTGGCTATGTATAATTTGATACGTAACCGTATGTAAAAAAAACTACGTCAAAGGTGTTAATTGAATGTGCTAATTTATTACGTCTTTCTATGTTATAACCCAATGACACTACTCGACTTGGTGATTGAACTGTAGACTTTGTACCTACTTGCTAATTGAACTTGATCATTGAAGTCGATTTTTAACTCGTCGAGTACCGTCATTATAGACATAATTATAGAACAATAGGTTGCGGTCACCGGTGACCGCTTGGTGTTTGACAGTTTATGATTTTACAATTCTCTTTATACTCCCCCCCCCATACTTAGTGTTAAGCGTAAGTTTAATTATTTAATTTAATTTAATTAATTGTCACTAACATTTTAGTTATAAGTAGATTTTCTGCACTAACAAAATTGCCGTGCCTATGGACTTTGTGGTCTGAAATAAATGATTTTTATTTTATTTTCTTTAACTTATCGATTTATTGTTAATATAACATTAATATTTGCTTTTTTTTAAGTTTAAAGTATAGATACTTGCATAGCAGCTATGAAGAAGACAGTTATAATCGAACTAGTTATAATATTTATGATGTGATATATGTTTCAATTCTTTAAAACAACATTAAAATATTACCTGTACATCTTATATAATTAATGTTTACAGTCTTCGACTGCAATGGATGATACATATTTTAGTAAAATTGCCAAAGTAAAACTATTGTTAAAATAAAATTAAGAACTTAATATTCACATCTCAAAAGTAATTAAAATAGACTTAAAAACTCTGATACAGTATTGAAAAACTCATCTAGGTATCTATCTCAAATGAGTATAACAATTAATATTATCATGACTAGATATGTATCTGCATTAATCGTTTTCTTTATACCTAATAACTACTTATTTACATTCAATTAAAATTTATATTACAAGATAATATGTAATAATATCTTAACTATGACGCAAATCAGTTCAGCGGAAAGTTTAATAAAACTATAATTATCTAGGTATTTGACAAAAAATATTTTGGCTAAATTATAATTGCGTTGCGCTCTGCGCGTCTGAATTTTTAAATAGATACCAACGCCATAGATTTTGAAAGCTTCATCGTTAGGTAATTAGCAATTTTTTTTTGTCATAGTACCTAATTGAACTCCTTTACGGTTCCATTATTCTCATTAGTAATATGGAATTCATAAAGCTAATTTAAATAAAATACTATATGCCTATATCTACAGGATGAAAACACAGACAGGTGGTCGTAAAAACAAATTTTATTATTATAAAAATAAGGAATCAAATGTTTCTTTTTAACATAACTTCACATCTTTTATCCCCGAAGTGCTAGGCAGAGATACATTACGGCACCCAATGCCACTGTACGATGTAACACCCACTTTTCACTATTTATGTTATGAGTCCCATGTAATAGGGGGTGAGCCTATTGCCATATACCAGTCACATTTCCAAACTCCGTGCTACCGCTGTGATTTAATAAAACCCAATAATACCTTTATCGACCCGGGAATCAAATCCTAGACTCCCCGCCCGGTAGCCGCATCCGCGACACTCGGCCAATGAGGCAGGTGTAATCAACTGCCCAAGAATGGTGTTGCATGAATAAAACGAAAACAAAAACCATTCAAATACCTGTATATCCCCAAGTGGTTACCGGTGACCGCTCTCTACTACCTACATTATAGACCTTATTTCCAAAGTTCCAAGAGTCTACTTTTGTAGAGGATGATTTTCAACAATTTTCAGCAGGTTATATAAACTAATATATTTCTAGCAGTAATCAGCGTTTCGAAAGCATTCCATTTACACTATATATTCGCATATTTTCACACAAGTAAATACTTAAAATTTAGACTGCCAATAAAAAACTGTTGAAGGTAAATCCTCCGCTAACGCCGGTGACCGGTGACACCCATGGCGTTTAACGTGTTAATTAAAAATTAACTACATTGAATTCAACCCAGAAATAGGAAACAATGTTTTATGAAGTCTTGTTATAACAAAAATAAACAATATGTTCTTTAAGTACCTATTTACCAATAAAGACATAAAAACATTTGATCATAACACTATGACCCAATCATGAGTCAACAACGGAGCAGAATGACCGTAGCGTACGTACAAGTATGCGTGCACGCAGCGTCGCAAACGAATAACATTATTATTATAATGAACAGGTGTTGTTTCCGCCTCCTTCAGACGCAATCTAAGATTTATTGATTAAGGACAAATAAAGTAAATATTGTTATTTATTATTATTATTATTTATTATTTATTATTTAACACTTTATGTACAACTGTATACAATGGCGGACTTAATGCCGAATGGCATTCTCTACCAGCCAACCATAAGGTGATGCAGAGAAGTGTTACAGTAGGCTTTAAAAGAAGTTTGCATCTATCGAAAAAAAAATAAAAACGAGGGTGATAAATGTACGTACATATGTATAAAGGTATCCTAGTACATAAACTACATACCAATACTACATACTAATATGAAACATAAATATAATATGTAAATATATAATATAAAATATAATATAATATAAAAATAAATATATAATGGGTTTATATATTTTATATAATTATATATATAAAGTTTCTGAGGAGGGTGTTAATTGAGACTTGATTGTTATTTAACTGTTATTTAAGAAAAAAACGGCATATTTAAAGAATAACAAACTAATTTTAGCCTGTGGTATTTTTACAATTTGAGCGGGTAAGAATTATACCAACGAGTTTGGAAATTGTATATTTAACAAAATTATTAAGATAATAAATTAAAGTGTAGTGAAAGCATTCAGCGCCTAACAAAAATATAATAACAACCAAACACTGAACTGAAACTTTCTATTTATAATTAAAAGGGATTGTGTAGTTTAACTCGTTGAGTACCGTCATTAAAGACACAATTAAAGAACAATAGGTTGCGGGCACCGGTGTCCTCGCGGTGTTTGACAGTTTAATAGTTAAATGTTTTACTGCGCAACGTCGAGTAAAGGCTCAAAAACATAATAGATATTTTCGTAAATATTTAATGGTTACAATAAACAATACAGAGTTTTTAGACAGGCCACATTTTGTACTTTATCTATTGAAAATCTATATTACTTAGGTAGTTAATAAAAATAAATCCCTGAATGCACGCGCGTAACTTTGAAACGACAATACCAACTTGGATAGTTCTTTCTTTTATGTTGTTCCTTATTGTCAACGGCATCATGTAATGTACCAGTAGGTACCGCCACTCTAGACAAAACTAACTTGCTTCCTCCTTTAATTCAGGCGCCTAAACACAATACATAACCCAAAATTATTCAATACACTCAAGGCCTTATGATAACTAGTACGATATCCTGATTTTAAGACGCCATCTTTGTAATCCAAGGATCCTATGTACCAAAACTCAAATCAAACGCAGATTATAAGCCAACAATGACAAGCGAGACCTACCACTGAGAATGCACTTTGAAATCGAATCACGTATCATCAATAAACTTGTGTATAACACCCGCTATTAAATATCAGAATAAATTGCATTATTATTGGTATTGAGTAGAATTTAAAAACATTTTAGACAATGCCTTTAAATAGACGCCTTTTGAAAAGTAAATGTAAGTGCCTAATAAACAACTTTGTTATTCGGTAATGGATCAGTAATAAAAACTATTAGTATAAACACACACATAACATCACGCCTTTTATCCTCGAAGGGGTACGCAGAGGTGCACATTACACCACTGTACAATGTAACACCCAATTTTCACTATTTATGTTATGAGTCCCATGAAATAGGGGGGTGAGTCTTTTGCTATATACCGGGCACAGTTCCAGACTCCGTGCTACTACTGAGAATTTTTAAAAAGATCCCAGTAATACTTTGCCCGACCCTGGAGTCGAACCCGAGATCCCTTGCCCGGCAGTCGCTATTGCGACAACGAGGCAGTAGTATAAACACTAGTCTAATATATTGAATAAAAAATTATGTAGATATGAGATTTATATATATAATAAACATCTATATATCGGATTCGTAATATACGGATGAATGTAGGTATATGTAATACGGATATTCGAAAAATTACTTCATAGCTTAAGTCAATGCCATACAATTATTATATGACTAATATTAACGAATTGCCATTTCTAAATAGTTAAACTTCAAATATAATTAACAAGTGGGAATTAAAAATATGTATTAACAAAAAAATTATGAATGCTAATAATATTTCTAAGATTATATTCATCTTTTTTAGTACATACGTAAACTACTTAATTAAGTATATACAAATATACTACCGAAAGTCTAG